CCCGTGGCGTATGACGGTCAAGACTGAACATAGTTTGAGATCCCTGTACTGTCATGAAGAGGTAAAGTGCGACGGTGGCCGTGGTGAGCGACTTGACCTGTAATGTCACAACAGAAACGTACGGGCCGATCATCCCGCGTCCGCCATCGGTGTAAGGCAGGGGCATAGTTGGCTGAATATGAAGCTGAAGGTGAAAGTGTCGTTAGTGGCTGAGGCGTAGAAACTGAATCAATAGCATGGTAGGTGGCAGGGGGCGGTGGAGCACACGCTCGAGCGAGGACAGCGTAGGTGAGTGGGGCAGCAGCAGGCAACGAAGTCGAACTCGAGGGCGATGCTTCGGCAACTAGTTTCTCGATGGCTCGACGAAGAGAAAGCGTCAAGGACGCCAACGGCTGTGATGTGGTGGATATGATGTATAATTGCCTTGTGACTTGCTCACGAATGAACTGCTTGATCAGTGGAAACAAAGCAGTATGATCCGTGCTGTCACGGCGTAAGTCCATAGACGAAATCTTTGTGGTACCTTGAGTAGCGCAAAGTTTGAAAGTGCGCTGCCTGCGCACCTCTTCCTAACTCTGGCAAGGTCAGATGACATCCAAGTGCAGATGAATTCAGGTGCAGCAAGCACCTTGATTGCATCGTCAATAATGCCTATCAGGATGAGCTTGATCTTGCCTGCTTCGCCCAGGGATGAGTAGATAAGCTTGCAGAGAGAGAGAGAGAGAGAGAGAGAGAGAGAGAGAGAACGCATCCTCAAATTAGCTTGTGAATGTTTCATCCTGTCTTCGGAATCTGCCACGCAAGTGCTGTTCAGCTCAAAGCCGGCGCACAGCAGGGTGTCCAAAGACCTCCACGAACATTGTGAAATCCGACCATGTGGTGCAATCGCTTTGGTGGTTCTTGTACCAGAGTTTGGTCTTTCAATGTTGGTTAAGTAGAAGTTTAGGCTTGCGAGCTTGTCACTGGTGTCTAACTTATTGCAAGGCACTATCAGCGCATACCTGGCAAGCCAGTCTTCCGCGTCGTGCTCATTTGTACTATTGGATGTGGGAGGATCACGCTGCCGGAGTGCGCCAGGGCAGAGAACAGGCGTTGGTGTGGGATTGTGGGTGCCCCGAGACAGTCCCGAATCAGCCATCTGGACAGGTTGCAGGAGTGTCCGGCTGCGCACTTCCAACAGTTCCAGGAGGTAGACCAGGTGTACCCAACACCTTTACCAATTCAAACGAGGGTGCTTTAAATGCAGGAGCCACGACAACTGAACACAGGTTTTACTACCACAAGAGCCAACTAGCATTGCGGGTAGCGATCGCTCTTCGTCAACCTTGTCTACTCACATGGCCAACCAGCATGTCCACTACCTAAGCCGCAAGCCTAATACCTACGTTACACCTAATACCTACGTTAAGCTGATATGATTTATGGCTGTAATTGAAAGTGTGAGTTGCCACGCCGTGATTTCACGAAAATTTCGCGTCTCGCAAAAACGAATCAGATTTATCGTGTCACGGATAGTACGATATATTCACTGATCCACGAAACATGCAAAGTGGTTCGTGCTCGTTTCTTGATGACGCGCTAACACTGCGGCTAGCACTGCCGAACAAGTGATCATTGGGAGCGTCTGTCTACTCATCATCCTTGAGAGGACGCTCCAGAATTCCACTAGGTGACGCGACAGCCTATGAACCTTGCGGATAGCTCGAGTAGTGTAGCATTGTACTCAGATACGGCGACACAAATACTGTGCTTCTCTTTAGAACACCCCATGGGGTTGGTGTCAGGGTATCTGTAATCAAACTGTAATTCAATCAATTGGGGTTCTGTATTCAGTCAGAGCGTTATACAACCAAGCTTGCACCTCCGATTAACAGCAAAAAGAATGAAATCATGGTCAGAACACTGTACCCTTTTTTGTAACAATGATTTCGCTACATTTCATTGCTTAAACATTACACCTCTAAGCCTCCCACGATTGCTGCTTGGGATTGCGTATAAGGGCAGGCGGGAGAGCTTCTTATGAGGTCACGAATGCTTAGCACCTTTCAGAAAACGCCAAATTGCACTTTCTTTGTCGTCCTAATGCTCACTTTACAAAGAATTCGGGCATACATATCCACAAAACTTGAAACCACGCTGTTCGCGCGTTGTCTCGTGTTTAATCAGCCGTCCAAGTGGTTGTGGTTGCTTTCATCTGCACAATGCTCGTACTCAAAGAAGGTGATTGTCCAATTAAAAGGTGAATTCACCGGATACTTTCTGCATTGCTTCATTGCTAAAAACGCTGGTTATTAATTTATGCTTTCAATCATCAATCGCAAGCAAAAAAAATAAAAAAATAGTGAGCCACAATTAAGCAAGAAAATTGTTTAGCCACAGTGATGTATTCGTGAACGGTGAAACAAACATCCTTGTGGCTGTACCCCAGTGTAGAGGCTTCATAAGAAATAAGAGCAGGTTCTTATAATGGCTAGCCCAGTTTTCGAAAAGGTGGTGCTATTATGCCTTGTCTGAATAAGTGGAAACGGCAACAATATAATAAAAGACGACTGATCGTTTCCTCTTGATTGCAGTAAATGCACATAGGGGAGTTCAGTAAACCAGTTCTATGCAAGTAAAAATTAACCGAGGTAACATGGCAACAAAATCTTGTGATGACAACTTACACCATGCTTGAATTAGAAAGTTGACTGCGCCAGGCAAATAACATGTGGTTGTACTCTGGAGAAGCCGACAGTGGAGCGTCCGATAAATTTTGCCTGATTTTAAGCGTGTGAAATCACGCCACCTTATTGTGTACCGCAGGTGAGAAAATAGGAATAATCGGTGCCGAAAGCGATGTCTTCGCAAGAGAATCGGTCATTTTATTGAACAAGCTCTCGCATACTAGAACTGAGTATTCTAAATTGTTGAACGCTTATTCTAAACACACACAAGCGTTTGTGCTCTGGTGCCCAGATTAAATGGAAACTTCGGAGGTCCCAGGGAACCAATGAATTAAAAAGTTTCAGAATGGGTAAGCTACTGGAAGGGGACAGAAAAGAGCCCACAAATATTAAGTCAGTTATTGCTACGACTGGAATGGAAGTATTTACTTTATGAGAAGGTAACATTATTGCCATAAATTTAGCCAGAAAGAGAGAAAAAAAATTTGGTAAGCGAAGTGAAAATGACCAATCAAGTACAGGACAATATATTCCAACGCCTCATTTTTCATCTGATTGTGACGCGTCCGTTGCAATAATGACATTCGTGGGCAGAGTACTTTAATGATACTGCAGTAAACCGTTTAAAATGCCTGTAGGTAATAACTTAGCGTGAGTTCGGAAAATATGGTAAACCCTTTATGGAGACATTTGCTGCGCAGTTTAAAGAAGCAGATGATAGTTATAGCGCGAGAACAAAACGACGACACAGAGACAAGAAGGACACGAAAGACACTGTGTCTCTGTGTCGTCGTTTTGTTCTCGCGCTATAACTATCATCATGCCATACCAACTAGCCCAAGCTGCCACACTTCTAAAGAAGCAGATCACAAATATTGTATTTCCTACTGCTGATTCATCAAAATTCAAAAACTTCGTCTCACTTAGTGACTTGTGCCTCGAAATGACCCCGGCATACCCAAAGGCGCTATCATTCACAACTGTTATGACTTCTCGCCACGAGCAACGACGTCTTTTTATAATTTCTAGCAGCTGGATGTCATTGGGTCTGACGGTGCAGTTCCAGTAATCGGCCACATGATTTCCTTCACAAAGGCAGCACTTTTAGGTTACGGCAGTGCACTTCTTCAACGGATGGGCATCGCTGCTGATACGGCAACGTGAATTTGATTTACAGCCCCCTACACTGGTACAAAAACGCCAACAGTTTTGAAACTGGAGATGACGAGATTCAACCTTTAAGTCGGAAGTGGTTGCAGCCGCCACTACTATTCTACAGATGCGTATATTTATCTACGCCGTAGAAGCGTACTTAAAAATGCAAAAAATAAATTAGTAGTTTGGGAACAATTATTTTACCTTTTCTTGGTGCACTTTCTTAAAATTCATGTGTAAGAATAAATTTTAGCTAGAATATTGCATCTAATAGACGGCCTTTCTGTGCACATAAATGTAAATACGCCTAAATTAAACTTAAGTCACTGCCCATATTTAAAAAAAAAGTCTAGTGGCTAAGGTACTCGGCTTCTGACCCGCAGGTCGCCGGATCGAATCCCGGCGGCGGCGGCTGCATTTCTGAGGGAGACGGAAATTTAGGCCCGTGTGCTCAGATTCGGGTGTACGTTAAAGAACCCCAGGTGGTCAAAATTTCCGGAACCCTTCACTACGGCGTCTTGCATAATCATATGGTGCTTTTGGGACGTTAATCCCCACAAATAAATCAATTATTTCCAAAAAAAGAAAACGCAGTATAGACGCGCGTTCATGCTTAGCCGACTAGCTAATTGACAAGCGTGATCACCTTCGCTTGCATTTTTCACCGATCTAAAGAGAGGTCAGCCCAAGATATACCTGCGACGTCGGGCCAAGCACACTGGCTGACCTACTGCCGACATAACCAAATGGCGTTGGCTGATGATAAATAAACGACGTCAGGCCAAGACGGTGGCCAACTTACAGCCGACCTGGCCATGTGGCGTTGGCAAATGGTAAACCTACGATGTCGGGCCAAGCACGCTGGCCGACCTATTGCCGAAATGGTCATTGGCCAGTCATGGGCCAACCACTTTTTTCGGTTGTTCCACCGACTAAACTGGCCACCGACTGGCTGCCGACCCTTAACCAATGGTTGGCCACTGGCCAGGTTCCCTTTGGTGTTAATCTCGCACTCGCTGCGAGAGCTAGGTGAAAGTAGCCTACGTGTATTTCATACTGGGAGGGCACAGTATACAAACGGCCTAGGAGAGAAATCTTGCCTTGCACTTGCGGCCTTGTTATGTTGTTGCGCCACATGGTAGTCTTGGTAAACTTGCTAATGGCAAGGTGTCTACGCAGATTCTAGGCCTGGGTGTACTGTCTGTCGGCATCTGGATCCGGTCAGACCCAGACTTCTGGGTGTACCAGGATAATCTCCCACTGTCCAACTATTACAATGCCTGCTACGTGGTCATGGCCGTGGGTGTGCTGCTACTTGTCCTTGGCTTCATGGGTTGCTGCGCCGCTGCCATCGACAGCCCTTGCATGCTTCTCACGGTAAGACAAAGAAAAAGTGCCGTCCTCCATAAACATATCGAAACTCTGAAATGGTTCAACGTAAAACCACTAGATCATCACCGCTATCAAAAATGGAAATGAGTTATGCATTCAGAAGGCATGTTCAAACAACGCGTCTGAAACGTAGAATGTATACAGACACGTAGTGCACACTTGCTACTTGTATCTTGAGTCGAAAGCACCGCCCCGCCACGGTAGTCAAGTGGCTAAGGTACTCGGCTGCTGAGCCGCAGGTCACGGGATCAAATCCCGGCTGTGGCGGCTGCATTTCCGATGGAGGCGGAAATATTGTAGGCCTGTGTACTCAGATTTGGGTGCACATTAAAGAACCCCAGGTGGTCGGAATTTCTGGAGCCCTCCTACTACGGCGTCTCTCATAATAATATTGTGGTTTTGGGACGTTAAACCGCACAAATCAATTAATCGAGACTAAAGCGCCTAGCTATCGAAGCTACGTCATCTAGAGCCTGCACACCAAAAAACCACAGTTCGTATTTTTATTACCTTACAACAGACTGTGAAAATATGGCAAGAGCACGTGCTTGTTACGAAGCCAGGAGAGTCCAACCGCTCCCATATAAAAAGTCTATATTTTTTCTTGATAATGATAGTAATAGTGAACTATATATTACAGATGCGGCTTGTTTTTGTCCAGAAAAATGCCTCGATTACATTTGCTGTTATTCTTTATTTTCCTGAGAAAGGAATTTCAGTTCTGGTAAACTGAGAGAAACAGCTCATGTCACACTTATAGCGGCGTAAACCGAGATATTCATGCGCGTGTTTATAGAAGAAATAGCCGGTTGGAATAGTATGGACTGGTCATGTGACGAACGAATGCAATAAATAAGAAGTGACATGCGCTTCGGGTACTCGTTTTGTAGATATGTTTCCCCGAGAAATGCTTGTTTTTAACACTGAAGCTGTTATGGGTTGGCGTAAAACGTTATGACCCGAAATAACGACTATCATGAAGCGGCAGTTGCTCCCTTCATCCTCCTCTTCCTCTTTGCGCTTTTCTTGATCTTCGCTTCAAGAACACATGCGACATTTCGTTCGGCAAGGGGAGCACAAAGCAAAGTAGAGATGTGATAGTGAAGAAAATAGCGATGAAAGGAAGACAGACAGAAAGACAGGAGAAAAAAATATTTCCTCTTAAGATGGCTGGACTAGAACGCACGTGGGCACGTTCCAAACGCGAGCATCTTAACCACTCAGCTATTAGGCCAGGCTGGCAGAACATAAAAAGGGCGAGTGTAGTATCGCATTGTAAGCGGTGAAAAGCGGAAAATAAATGTTATAAAGAAGATGCTAGAGGATGAAAATAAGGGCGAGGAATCAGAAGGATTGCGAGTGAAAGAATGAGAAGTATAGAAAAAGAAATGCAGAGAGAGAAAGAAGGAAATCTAATCGAAGAAGTAGATGAACAGAGACAAAAGCACACATGAAAATGAGATGACAACAAAGAAATAGAAAGAGGTTTAAGCAAAGGCAGCCACTAGCTCTAAAAAGAAGCAAAGAGAAATAAAGAAATATATTACTCTGGAAGCGGCAACAATATCGTACTTTGCTGTAAAAAAAGTTTACGCGATGTAGCACAAAGTTTCAACATATTCTTTTCTCCTAAATCAGTGGTAGATGCAGTGATTTGAAAGTGCATTGTTTTGCAAGTGTGATGCTGGTTCGTACCTTTCTACTCTTCTGTGACAGGCATTGAAATAATTAGATTTCAAAGAGCGCTGCTTGGGTCAAGGGTTTCTATTTTCTTGATTGATACTTTAGTTTTTGTATAAAGCTTTTGCAAGCACACCTATAAATAATGACCATCGCTCCATTAGGCCATAAACTGCGATGTCCACAATGTTCGTAATTAAATGGGGAACGTTCTTCTCTATTATCATGGACAAACTTCCCTTCCTCAGTTAGTCAAGATAGCTGACCGCCGGTTCGCGAAGTGATTAGGCCTAGCAAGTGCCCCAATTTTCGAGCGATAAAGACTAGATGGCAATGGTACTGACAAAAAAATGGTATCGCAAAATCTAATATCGAACCATATGACAATAAAATCAAGCACACAAACCTGTGGTGAGAAAAACCTCACGAAACAGAACGACGGAAATTTTACGTTTCGCTCGACCACTGAGATGGCGTTGACATTAAGAAAGACGGGTGCTGCAAAGTTCTTATTTAGAGACAGCATTCTCAAAGGTCCAAACAGTTTTAAGACGTCATCCACGCGTTTACTGGGCAATGGGCCCCGAGATGTGCTTTCAAATGTACACTCGATCGCAGCAAAACAATTCCAGCATAGCACTGCATAGCTTCGATAGATAGTTGTTTAAAGTTGAATGAGTAAGTGGAGGTGTAAGAATGCTACAGCCGTGAAGTAAGCGACAGCTGCTGCCATCTGAAGGGATTCAACTGAATTGAAAATATTTTTTGTCTGTGGCGGCGTCCGTTGATACAACCAAACGGCTTTTTAGCTGGACGTTGGCGAGTCAGCCTATTTGTGAATTATACAAGGATACCAAAAGGCTGACGCACCAGATATACATGTAGCCTTATTTGCACGCGCACGTTTCCTACGTCTACCAGGCACACAATAGGCACACCCACGCATGCGCACACACACGCACACACACGGTCGTTATACCTCCGGTCGTGCTCCGGTCGTGCGAGACAAACAAGGGAAGATGGCTCTGCCTCAGGTGGTTTTCTTTCGTGAGTATGCCAGTGCCTCTTGGCATCGCGGAAGCTCGATAACTTGAAGGGAGGAAGTAGCGCTACAGGGCGCGAATTATGGAAACACTAGAGGTACTACGTGATCCTAGGTACAATTAATCACACACGACTGGTCGTAGGCAGGTAGCGTTGGATGAATAGCCTGAGACTGCCGACTGAGCTAGGAAAAATGCAAAATATAATACCCACAGCGCACAGAATAGGGCTCGGCAACGTTCTGCGCAGCGCAAAATAAGGACGTAGCCTCAAACGCGCATGCGCGCGGGTGCAAGCCCTTATGGCTGAAAAACTAGAACACCGTAGAAACAACATTTCTCAGTTGGGCTTTGCTGAAGGAGGGCGCGTACAAATAAAGCTCTGGCAAGCAAGAAAAGTATCTGTTCTGAAGGAGAAATGCAGCCCGTGTCTTCATTGTCGCTTCCCGCTTACTTTTTATAGAGTGCTCAGCGGATTGAGTGATCTGGGAACAATGAAGAATTGAAGCTTAACCTGACTATTAAAACTGGCTTAGGCCACGTGTGGAGAGGATTTATTTAGGACCGAGAAGAAGCTAAACTTGATGATGTCTTTCGTGAATCTGAAATCTGCGCTCATGTAAGGCAACAAGCTTTTGCTACGCCTTAGATTGCGCTGCCAGCAAACCTTAGGGTCGGCTGAAGAAGTTGAAGAGAACAAAATAAAACGCTGTTGCCCATGGTCACTCCATGGGTGAAGGTAAAACTTTGTCCTTCGAGGAGCAGAGTTTTGCTGATAGTATATGCAACAGTGTTTTGTCATTGCTGAAAGAGTTGTTCAAAAAACATAAAAATAATTGGCATAGCGGAAAACACGTAACACAAGGGATCTGGTTAGTTCTTCTTTAAAAGGGCCCAGAAACCCCTTCTCAAGGTGTTTCTGTGCCATAGTAAACATTCACTGAAAGAGCTTGTTGCCTCACGAATTGTACGCCGTAAAATGTTCAGGAATCCATTCAGTACAAGTGGAGTTGCAAAAGCACGCTGCAATCACATTCTCTATCCTCTCGCCCCGACGGAAATGCTGGGAGCTGGGCAGAGGGGCAGAGGACGGCATTGACTAGAAAAATACGTCATGCGTGCCTGTCATAATCTTGAGCACTTTCATTTACTTTAATTCGAATACGCGGTTCTTGCCGCGTGATCGCGCGTACATAAATCCCGACCTTCCCGTGGCGACCCCTGTAGCGACCAAGCTCGCCATGTTCAAATCAGTAAATGGCTGATGAAACACCTTCGACGAGTAACTTTAGAGCTTCCTCCATCAATTGTCGAGAGAAGAGAGAGCAGTTTTCAGTTGACTGACAATTAATTGTGAATTGCAGGTAGCGTGCTGCGCTATACCTGATTTGTGTGTTCCCTGGAGCCTCTAGCTACTACGGATCGGCAGCATTTTCTGACCTTGCTGAAGAAGTGTTGACGGGCCACTTTTAATGTCTTTATCAAAAAAAATATGAATGTGTTCGACATCACAAAGGGCGCCACAGAACCGACGTAAATACCTGATTTTCGTGAATAAATTTATTCACAGGCAAGATGGTTGTGAACATTGGGTAACGTTGCAACAGGTGTAAAAAGTTTCAGTACAAACAATATAATTTAAAACTGGGCCTCCCAGTGTTTTTCTATGCTTTCTTTATAACTTTGGAGAGATTGTAAGGTGGAATAGAAATATTCTTTGGACCCTCAAACCATACTGTCTTAACTAGAAGGAGAGCCTTTTTCAGTGTCTCAGCGAATTTCTTGGAGCCGATGCGGTCAGCACAATTACCCAATTTTCGGTCGAGGTATGTTTTTTTTTCAAGAACGATCTCGTGATGCAGATATTCTGTGGAAAAACATTAGCATGGCGTGGGCAGTCTAAAAATTGTGTGTTTTGTGTGTGATCAAAATTTTCAAGAACGGGCTCGGGCACCAATCTTGCATTTTACTGCAGGAGCTGTGAGAGCTTTGGCTATTTTTCTCAGCTGGAAAAAACATAATTTGTTTCTAAGACGAAAACGCGATTAGAAAAAGTAGTCACCGAGACATCATTCGTCGCGAAAAAGAGTGGACACCTGCGTTAATTCACCTTTATGATTATTATCAAGAAAAGAATAAGACTCTTTAAATTACGACTCTTCCTGGTTTGTAACAACCACGTGGTCTTGCCACACTTTCTCGGCTTCTTGTAAAGATAATGTTACGGGTAACTTATTTATGAAATTAAATACGATGCACTGT